ATAAAATAAAAATATTTTAATATTATATTAATATAAAAAAATATTTATAATACCTAAGTATAAATAAACTATAAAAAGCTTAATAATTATACTTTTATTATTATATTAATTAAGCTATTTAATAAAAAAAATATTTTATATTTTATAAAATAAGTAAATAATAAGCTAAATTAATTAGTTAGCCTTATATAGACTTTTTTTTATTATTTATAAATATAAAAGTAGTTTTTAAAGGTTATAAGCTTTAATAATATTTATAATATTAATTAATATAAGCTTTTTTTTTTTTAAGTTATTAAGTAAATATATCTTAGTTTAGTATATAATATTATATAGGATTTAATTAATAATAAAAAAAAAAAAAGTTTTAATTTTTTATAAAAAGTATATATTAACTTTTTAAATAATATTTTATTAAGGAGCCTAAGGTAATTATTATTAATTTTAATAATATTATAAAAGCTGTTTTTAATAATTAATTTTTTATAATATAATAATAGCTTTATATATATTATATTAATTAAAATATATTACTTAATACTAAGTAAAAGTAGGTAAAGGTATAAAAAAGTAATAGTAGTTTTAGTAATAGTAATAGTAAAAAAACCCTTATAAAACTATAAGCTAGGCTTACTATTATTAATAAATAGCTACTTAATATAATAATTAATAAAAATATTTTTTATATTTACTAAAGGGTTTTTTTTATATAAAAATATATTTTATTTACTAAAATAAAGTAAGTATATAAATAAGCTTAAATATATTTTTATTTAAAGTTTAATAATTAATAAGTAATTTTAAACTATTTATATAAAATATATTTATTAATAAAAACTTAATAAATATATTATTTTATTTACTATTACTATAACTTTAGTATTTAAATAACCTTAAGTATTAAAGTAAGTAATAATAATATAAAAAACTATTTTTTAAATAATATAATTTATTTTTACTAATTTATTAAAGTAATATAAAATATAATATATAATTAAGAATATAACTTTAAAAATACTTATATAAATAACTAAGTTTTTATTAATTACTAATACCTAAGGTTTATTAAAAAGTACTTAAGTAAACTATTATAAATAATATTATTAAAAAAGCTTAAGCTTATTAATAAATAGTATTATATAATATATAAGTTTATACTTAGTATTAAAATACCTTTTTTACTTTATTTAGTTAACTATAATAAGTATTATATAATTTTTTTTAAACTTAGGATTTTTTATTACTATAAGGTTTATAAAAAGCTAGGTTTTAGTATTAATTTTATAAAATAAAAAATCTACTTACACTAGCTATTATAAAAGTTAATATTTATAAATTTATATTACTAAATCCTTAATCTTAAGATTACTACTATATTATAAAAAAAGTTAAAAAATACTAAATAACTTATTTTAGTATAATTAGCTATTATAATAAGCAGCTAGGCTTTTAATAAATTAATTAATTAAGTTATTAATTAAGTAAAAATATAATAAAGCTTATAAAAGTATAGTTAATTAGTTAATAATTAAAATAAGTTTATATTTATAAAAAAAGTTACTAAATAAAGTATATAAAGTAAAAAAACTTTATTTAATTATTTTTTAGTAAAATTATAAAAATATTAATTAAGTAAAGTACTTAAATTTAAGAAAATAATAAGTATTTTTTTAAATAGCTAAAGAATATAGCCTAGTTTATAAAAGATAAGGAGTTAGTAAAAACTTATAAAAAAGGATAAGCTATAAATAATAGTAAGTAAGCTATTTTAATTTATAAATTAAAGTAATAATAATAGTTATTTTAATTTATAAATTAAAAAAATTATAAAAATATATTTAATTTATAAATTAAAAAGGGGGTAAAAGCTTAAGTATACCTTTAGAAATAGTTATTAAAGTAGCTAGCTTTACTACCTACGCTAAAAAGTACCTATAGAGCTATTTTTTTTTTAATTAATAACAGAGGGAGAAAAGTTATACCTGCGTAAGATTATGCCTGCGTAGTAAAAATATTATACCCCCCTATTAATTACCTTTTTTATATACTTAATATAATAAGTAAAATCCTTTTTAAATATTTAATACTTAGGAAATTAATATTTCTTTTTATTTATATAATAAATATAATCCTTTATTTTAATAAAATAAAATAAAATAATTTTTAATAAAATATTCTTATACTTAGTTTTAAAATAAGGCTTTTTATAAATACCTAATATAATAGTTAATAAAATATACATTTACTAAAGGAATAATTAATTAACTTAGGGTAATAAAAAAAGTAATTACTTATATTAAATAAAATAAAGTCTTAAGGATAAAATTAATAAAAAAGGGATATTATATTATAACCTAATACTTATAATTATATTAAAAAGCTTATATAATAAGTATTATTAAATTAAAGTTAATCTTTTCTACTAATTAAAAAAGGATTAAGAAATATTTTCTTAATTTAATATAAGATTAATAAAATAAATACTAATTTATAAATAAATTAAGAAATTATTTATTAATTTAGTTTAGTATAGCTAAATATATAAGTTTTATTCTTTATACTTATTTAAAATAGTTTAAATAGTTAATTATAAATATAAAATAATACTTAATTATATTTATAAAATATCTTTTATAGTTATATAAATACCTTATACTTAATTCCTTATTAATTACCTACTAGCCTAGCCTAGCTTATTTACTAATATAAACCTAGTATAAGGTTTATCCCTTAGGAAATTCCTTTTATACTAATCCTATAGGAGCTTAGCTTATCACATTCTTTAAGTTAATACTTATATATTATACTATAATACTATTATAAAAACTTTATTAAGTTTTTTTACTTTTTTTTTAAAGTAAAGTATAAATTTTATATATTTATATAAGTTCTTTACAACAGCATTTATGGCTGGTAGCAACATTCGATGGATGTCCAATCCCACAGCGTGACATCAGGGTCGTTATGTGATATTGGCCCCGACCAACCACCGGTACATCCGTCATTGTCATAGCCATAACATGAAACTCCGCTGGTCACCTGGACGCTGCCGAGCAAGAAACCGTTATCACGATTATTGTAACATATACAATTGCTTCGCGCTTCCATGAAGTGGCTTCTCCCTTGGTAGTTAATCCCAGTGAACAGCGTACCCATGAAGAATGTAGGCGATCCGTCGGGGTCAGGTACCGCCGCTGTTTCGGTCCTGGCTTCTGGAATAGTAGCTCCCTGGATTGATACTGATAGCATCAATCCCGCTACAATATTGTATGATAGAAGTCTCATTTTCCCGGCTTGAGAAGTCTTATCAAGCTTGATAAGCTAAGGATGTTTGCTTCGAGCCACTTGGTTTGGAGTTGTTGTATGGATGGTTGTTTTTTTAGGAGGAAACCCAATGAGAGGTTTGGAAAGAAGAAAGAAGAAAGAGAAGTTGATTTGCAAATAGCATTTAGGTCAAAGTTAATAGTGAAGGACAAGCTGAATTTATTTTGAAGAAGGAAGGAAGAGGCTCCTTATATACTAGAAAAGAGTTCTCTACTAGTTCATAAAATAGAAAATCAGATAATATATCGTTACGCATATATTAATGCCAGGTATCCACCTATTTCGTATTGCCAGTAGTTATTTAACAGTGCCCTGATTAGGAAAAATTAGGGAGACAACTTTCGTATTGATCCATCCTCGTCGTTTCTTAGTGCTACTCCTACGGATGGAAATGGGCCCCAGGAATAAGCAGGCCGAAAGGCAAGAGGATGGACGTCCTTGACTGTATTAGAACTAGTATATTTGATGTCTTACTTTACCTAACTCCTGTCGATCAAGCGGTAAATACGCAAAGTACGGCTGCTATTTGAAAACGCTAAGCTTCAACCTGCTACTGGCTATCTGATGCTCACAGCGGATTACTGATCAGCCCACGTTGAGAGGTTTAAGCGTGCGCGCTCTTATGTCTACCTTGCTCTGCCACGCGGGCAACTTCACTTACTGAGCGTCTGGTTATGCCTAAATGCAAAAGCGACGGAGATTGCGTCTTACCTTGTACCTAAACAGGTATTTAGGGGTAGTAACTCGAAGGATTTAGCTAATCGCGGGGGTTTTCGATCCTTGTGTCTTATCAAACTTCTCCGAACCTGGTAAAAGATTCGGTATTATTGGCTAATCGCCTCAAGTCACAAAGCTTTCCAACAGTAACTAGTTATTAGGATATTCGATCTTTACGGCTATGTAAGAAATAAAAGAGTACCCAAATGTAACGTTGCAACTAGAGAAATAATTGATAAGCCTAAGCTCCTTTTATTATCTTACCAATTGTATACATCTTGTCATCGTTCTATATAGATATTACTTCCTTTTGTTTATACTCAAGGGCGTAGGGGAGATAGATAGTATTATATGGGAATCCCTTTTATATTAACCTATAAGAGCTCAACTTATTACATAGCGATGGAGCAGTTATTGATCCGTGGGGATAGAAAGTACAAGGCCGGTTATTGCTGCTGCTGCTGCTGGATCCATGTCTGGATCTTGGATTTGCCACCACTGGAAATTATCCACGGGCCAGGAGGCTAATATTGGCATGCCAGGAGTGTTTAAGTAAGAAAGCTCTTCAGCGATTGATAGAGTCTGGTTAGGTTGGAATATTGATGGCTCTGGGCTGGGAATTGAATGTAAAGGTCGAGAGGGGGTTAATGCAGATGGCTGTGTAAGAGCTGCATGATTGCTGATGTTGGTAGCATGAAATAATTGGTCCCATTCAGGAGAATCCTGAGATTTCATAGAGGAGAAGAACGGATATCGCCGAGATATGCCATCAGCTGCATTAAGCGGCCCTGGCTCGAATGATGCCCTATTAATGGTATGAGAACCTCGAAAAAGAAAGTGCAACAAAGTAGACTGTACCGTTCCACACCCTCCCCAGAAAGCCCCTTGGGAACTTGGATGCCGTAAGCTCTGGCGGCAGCGCAACAGAATCCATGCTGGAATGCATTAGTAATGAAGGACTAATCAGGTGGTCTGGCATCACCCACGACTTTCTTAGCCAGGACGATAATTGGCATAGAATTTTCCAGAGCTCGCAGATTCAACTTGACCAGCTCCGTGACATCATCCCTGTAAGAATTCCTATTTTCTTGCCACCTAGTTGACGCGAGCAGAGCAGATGTCGAATCCCAGATACAAAGGCTGAGCCACGGATCACGGAACAGATGATCCGGCTCGACTTTTAAGACCTTTTGTATCAGGAACGAAATATCTCTGGCGTGGGAGACATAGCGATCTGAACAAGTCTGGATGAACTCGGGAGGAATTTGCGTTACGAAGCGTTGGATTTTTGAGCCTACATCTTCGGGAACGAAGGCGCCAAATAGAATGATGCAGCATTGGTGATAATACGCATGGATCATGAGAAAGATGTCAAGATGCCGGCTGACTCTGAAAGTGTACATGTGACGCTCGACAAAAGCATAGTTGGCTGGTAAGTTGCGCCTCCATGTTTCTAACTCTTCACATAGTATGGAGAAGTTAGACCCTGGAAGCCAGGGCAAGTCCATCTTTGAGTCTTGGGCTTCTTGCATGTAACTATTACGGTTAGAAAATCAACGACTAAGAGCAGGATCATATGATAAGTGGACACACGTCAAGATTTTGCGTCGAATCACCAGAATGTTGATCAGGTATGCGCAGTGATTAGAGGACTGCTTTATTGCCTCATCTTCAACCACGCCGCGAAGTTGACGAAGTGTCAGAGTCTTGCAAGGTTGTCCTTGGGTGAAGCTCCATAGATTGCATGGTAAGGGTACATCCATCAACAGTTCTAGGTTGATATGACTGTTGCTCTCGTAAAGGAGATCAGATACCAGCACCGCCCACATTAGGCGACGCCGGCACTCCTGCTGCAGAAATGTCCCCGGTGAGTTGGACTCATAGAGCTTAAGTTGCATCGACATTCGAGTAGCGATTCCTAAAATGTCAGTGCCACATCAACAATGGCTCGAGGCAGTTTGACACCATACCAACTAAGTTCCATGCGGAGGTATATTCTCCCTCGTGCATCTCGTGCAAAACAAGAAATTGCAGCGCTGAGATGGTCATTGTTGAAATGTGGTCGAAGTTACTCGTGATCAAGCTCCTCGCTTCTGCCGCCCATTTCAGTCCGTTCCTACGGCTGCTGGAACCAGGAAGAAATTTGGACGACGATGCACAAATAGCGAGCAGTGGCAAGGCCGGTGCTCGGTCAAGGCCTTCGCACAAGTAGCCTGGATGCAAAAAGTTGTTGCAACTGATTGGGTGGACATTCTCCAGGAAAGAATCCAGGTATGGTAGCAGTTCTTGGCCCGAGGGAGTTGCCAACGTGCGTATTTGTGGCTCGGATGGAGCCGGCCTTGGGCTATGGGCAGAGTTGACACTCATTTCATTCACCCGCCTCTCCGAACCTCTTTCTGATGCCGATACATCAGAAAGACTGACTCTTCCCGGAGACGTGGACAACTGTTCTTCTGCAGCATGGCGGCTAGAGAGTAAAGTCGTCTCCCTCGCCTCAGATGCATCATAGCTGAGGGGTGAGTTCCTCGGTAGCTCGGCGGCTTGTTCTGAGCTCTCTGAAGGTGCATATCTCGGCGAGATGTTGCTGTCCAGTTCGCCCCATCGCCGACCAGCTGTCACATATAGGCATTGCGATTGTTTCCGTACACAAAAGGAGCATGCGGGTTTCTGAGCGTCGCACTTGAGCTTCTTCTTTCGACATGTCTCGCACGCAACTGGAATCCGCAGACGCTTGTGGCCAGCCTGAGTGAAATTCGAGGCCCGTGGTACCGAGTCTGTGCCTTGTGGAGAGAGGGGCGGCCCTACTGTGGTTAGTTATTCTCATGGAGCACATTCCGTGGAAAGGCTACGGCCAACCTGTGGACAAACACTGAATGCCCAATTTCTCACAGCGGCGACACAGCCCCGGTCTTCCATCACATTTGACCTACAGACTCGTCAGACTCCATATCCGGTAGACCTTTGGTGTTCAAACTGACTTTTCTCTGGCGGCAAGTCATGCAGCCTCGAAATTTGTCAGTCAGTCGCGGTTTCCCATGCATAAGAAGCGAGTAGACGTGTTTTCTCACCAGCCATGATTCCGATTCTATCATTGGAAATTGCATGTGTAGTTTCTCGAGCGCCCACGCCATCTCATCTCGGTGCTGAACTGGCGCGTATGGGGGATTGCACTAGCGACAGTCAGATGACATGGAGCATGTCTGCAAGTCACGTGTCTCGCCCTTCCCGTTTGATTTTGTATGCATCTAGCTATGTCCTTTGTAAGTGTTTAAGGCCCTCTTTAATAAGGGGAAAGCTGAGGCCGCCATTTCAAGATACTGGGGCTATGGTCTGGCCTTGTCTCGAGTCCAGGGCTGGATGCCTGCCTTACGCTTCGCCTTTGGCAGCTATGGGTGCCCTCTCTATGTAAATTTGACAACCTTAAGCTTTCTTATCTGCCGTGGTATCTTTTCGAAGGCGTTTACGCTGCTCTAGGAGACTTTCTCGCGACCTAGGGTGCTGAGACGAGTGTCGTTCTAAGAAGGAATCACAACTGTCTACAAGCCATGAAAAGCCATTGTTCGATGCACACTTTGGACCTCTGACCCAGGATCGGTTGATTTATTGCCGCTAAAGTATACAGTAGATTAGGCTAAGGTAGTGAGAGAATCATTGCATCTTCAATGGCATCATTTGACAGCCCTAGTGCCCGAGCCTGATAGCTAATCCATCCAAGCAGCCTTCTGCGGACGTTGGCTCGGGAACCTCGGTGGCTTCTTAATGAACTTGTCTGGGTTCTGAATCGCACCCGGATGCCAGAACTCGTACTCCATCCAACCCTGTTCCGTCATCTGTTCTTCTAGAGCCTCGACATACTCTCCTAATTCGGGCTGCATCGGAATGACGCCGTTCTCTAATACGTACTGATCCCATAGCACAAGCAGTGTCTTTAGGATTTCTGGTTCTTGCTCAGCAAGATCGTTGACCTCGCCTGGGTCTTTGTCCAGGTTGTATAGTTGCCACTTTTCGGTACCCTTTGGTTTGGGGATGAAAACTGCCTTCCAATCTCCCTTTCTGATAGCACCACGGCCGAGAAGCTCCCACCCTTGGACGAAATCTTTCTCATGTACAGTCTCGTCTTTTCCGTTGAACCATTTGGTCATGGACCTGCCTCTCATGTCGACCACTTTTCGGCCTTTCCACTCCGGTGCCGGGTGGGTCAGGCCAGCCATCTCGAGAATAGTTGGTCCTAAATCCATGACGGTGGCAAATATGTCCGAGATTCCCTCCTTGTTGAATTTCGGATAACGCACGACAGCAGGCACGCGAACTCCACCCTCGGTCGGGTATGCTTTGTATAGACGAGATGGTGCAGTGGCGGCCATCGCCCACCGTGGACCGTACCCTTGGAACGGTTAGATGGAGAAGAGGACACATGACGCGAGTAGGGCCACTTACAGACAAAGGAGTTGGCATTTCCAATGTTGTCGAGGCTATTGTCGTAATACTTGTCGAGATGCTCGAGAAGTGGACCGCGAATCATTGGATATGCCTCATATGCCGCGCCCTCCGCGCCGTTGTCGCTGAGAAAGATGACAAGGGTGTTATCAAGCTCTCCTTGCTTCTCTAGCTCGTCTAGTACCTTGCCGATGTTGAGATCCATGGACTAGGCCAGGTTAGCTGATGGTTTCAGTAACAACTCAAACAGGTAGCTACCTCGACCATGCCGGAAAAGGCCTCCATGCTTCTTGAGCTCTTGGCCTGCTCCTCCTCGGTCATGTTTTCCCATTCTGTAACCTCGTCCGCAACGACCGGGTGTGGCTGGGTATTGGGGTCCATCAGCCCCAGTTCGATCATTCGCTTCATCCTGCTCTGTCTCAGGGCCTCGGGTCCATCCTTGTATTGGCCTCGGTAATGCTGAATCAGTTCCTGAGGAGCCTGCAACGGCCAGTGGGGCGCTGTGAAGGCAAGATATCCAAAGAACGGCTTCTCGTCCTTCCGTCCTGCACGATCTTTCAAATATCCCACCATCTTTTCAGCATAGTAGTCCGAGGAGTACCAGTTGTCTGGCAGGCTCTTGAGGTATTCATTGTCTTCTAGGTGTACGGCAATATGTGAGGTCTGCATGAAACCAGGCAAATCATTCTCCCTAGAGTAGAGGGGATTAGCCAAGCGGGAAGCGGGAGTAGAGAAAGTCAGACATACGACCCTGGCGGCTGATAGGCATAATGGTTGCAGCATCCCGCAAGCATTCCGACAGAACGCTCGAAGCCGCGCGCGGTGGGTGAGCGCTCCTTGGTCATGCCCAAATGCCATTTTCCAGACATGAAGGTTTCATAGCCACCTTGTTGCAGAATCTCAGGAAGAGCCACCACTTTCTCATTCAAATAACCTTCGTAGCCGGGCATCCCTACAATACCGGATCAGTACATTTCTGTTTATGGAAACAATAATGACATGGAGCTACCAACCACGCTGGGGCGCGGTGGACACCACCTTGCCCTTCCCAGCGGCTTGAGCCGAAGCCCTTGACCACTCGACCAGGTTCCCCAAACCGGCGATGTGGTGGTCGGTGCCAGTCATGATCATGGCCCTCGTAGGCGAACATGCTGCTGCGGCATGAAAGTTTGTGAACTGAACGCCTTCCTTCGCTAGGCGGTCAATGTTGGGCGTCCTGATTTCTCCGCCAAAACATGCGGGGTCCGAGAATCCTAGGTCATCCGCGAGGATGATTAGAAAATTCGGCCTTTTGGTTGCGGTAGCGGTTGATGCCATGGTACCTGTATTCTGCACTGAGTCCTGTCACACGGTAGAAAGGAGGTCGCGGATGCGATAACACGATAAGATGAAGGGAAAGTTGTGTTGAGGAAAGGGAAAACACCCGCTTTAATACGTCTCCATCATATTATATCCCTTTCCGAGCACCCTATCATTGCTTCTTGTCTTTACATAATACCTGGTCACATCATTGAAAGAGCCTTCTTCCAATGCTTCCAGAGGGACATGCTGTCGGATATCGCGCGATATCCGATGAAGCTGTTTAGTTCTTTGCCGGCCCCAAGTGGGCGCAGTTGTGGAATAGAGTGCCGTGAGTGGCTGGCGAGATCTCCGGAGCTAAAGTCAATGAAAGCGCCAGAGTCGTGCGAGTTCCGTAAACCACTCGGATATCGGGCTCACCTGAATCGTATAGATTCCCCAGATTATAGACTCCAGGGCTCCATTTGACACAATCTGGGGTCTCCATGGCACAATCTGGGGCCCCACGGGACGAGAGTTGAAGTCCTATTAAGATGCTGTATATCTCCCTCCATCTTCCATGCGATCAACCGGGTTCATCTTGAGATGGAGATTTGCTTCTCAAACGAAGTTTAACGAACATCATGGCTTTTACTTATTCGCTGGGCAACTTCCGTGCCATCTATCTTGTGTCGCTTTGCTGCATCGGGTATGTCTTCATCCACTGGCTCAAGTTCAGACAAACTCGAGAACGACGCTCTTACGAACCCACTACAGGTCTTTTCTGTTCGCCTATGACACTGGAATTGTTGGTTAGTTAACCTTGACACATTATTGCAAATCCAGTTTGTTGATTCTGTTAGGTGGTGTCTTGACACTATCGGCGTTTCAAAATGATTTCAGATATACCAAGGCTGAGGCGACAAGCATCAACTCAAACTGTGTCTCCATCCTTCAGGCTGGCGCGTTCTTTGGTTGTTTTCTGATCTGGCCGTTCACTGCCCGTTACGGACGACGCATGTCCATCGTCCTAGCCTCGTTCATCTTCAGCATCGGCGGAATCCTCCAGGTCGTCAACACACACTCCATCGGTGCTTTCTACGCCGGTAGAGTCATCTCCGGGTTTGGCGTGGGCGCCGCGACCGTCCTAGTGCCCATGTATTCCGCCGAAATGGCACCCAAAAACATGCGCGGTCAGCTTGGATCCTGCTTCCAGCTATTCTTTGCCCTTGGCGTGTGTGTCAGCTACTGGTAGGGCCCCCTAATCTCCCTTCTTTGAAGTCTTGAGCGTACGGCGCTTATACAGATACCTATCTATAGGATCAATTACGCAGTTAAGACCCGTGTTCCGTCCAGCACCCTGCAATGGCAGATCCCTATTGGACTCCAACTCGTTCCGGGTGGTCTCATCGGCTTGGGCATGCTCCTCGTCAAGGAATCTGTCCGATGGCTAGCAAAGCAGGGACGAAACGAAGAGGCCTTGGCCAATCTTATCTGGATTCGCGGCGGTGATAGTCCCGAGGTACAAGCCGAATTTGAGGAGATCCGCTCTAGTCTTGACGAGGAGTCCCGCCTTACCGAAGGCATCTCGTGGAAAGAGCTTCTGCTGCCGGTCAATCGGTTCCGTGTCTTCGTCGTGGTCACCATGCAGCTCGGTGTCCAGCTTACTGGGAACACATCTCTTGCGTATTATGCTCCCCAAATCTTCGCCGCTGTCGGCGCGGGCAACTCCACTCTGCTTGTCACGGGGTTTTTCGGGGTTGTCAAAGTTGTCTCCGTATCTTTCTTCTGCATATTTGTTGTCGGAAGAATCGGGCGAAAGACAGCTTTCATGGGCGGTGCGGCAGCGATGGGCATCCTAATGCTCATCATTGCCATCATTGTTGCAAAGGCCCCGCCCACTGGTCATATAACCGGCTCGTCCATCGCCGCCATCATCATAGTATACTGCGAGGCCGCATCTTACAACTTGTCCTGGGGCCCCGTGTCTTGGCTCTATCTGGGTGAGATTTTCCCGACTCGCACCAGGGAGTTTGGAATCGCAATCGGAGCTGCTGCACAGTGGCTGTTCAACTTCATGCTTTCACAAATCACGCCACATGCTATCAAAAATCTCGGCTGGAAGACATTTCTTATGTTTTCAATCTTCAATTTCTCTCTGGTGGTTTATTCTTTCTTTATACTTCGCGAGGTAAGTGTAACAATCAGCTATACATATAGACCGCCAACTAAATGATTGCCGACAGACATCAGGTAAATCCCTTGAAGAGATGGAACAAGTGTTCGGGTCGAAGCAAAATACCATTGACGTTGAAGCTGGCCGAGTCAAAGCGGAGGAGTTGGAAGCTCATAAAATGGGCGCCGATCAGATGGTCCGCCATGTTGAATAATAAGCGCATAGATAAATATTGCAGCTTATGAAAGTTATTCTATATCAAGTAGGCTATAGAGTTCTTTATTGCCTGAGACCAAGAATAGTTATTGATAATGGCTTAATTGCTTCCTAATCTACTGAAATACTTGAGAAAAATAATTGCTATTCAGATTTATTTTAATGAGCCTGACCGAATGGCGAGACGACTTGCGTTTGGCGCTGGTGAGCAGCTATGGTGCTTCTGGTAACAATGCGGCCTCCACCTCCTCGATCTTGACAGATGAATCGTTGCGAGATCCGTTTCCGTTAGGAAGTTCGTGTCAAGTATATACTCTTAGCTGGTCCCAATTTACAAGGATATTTTCCATTTTCTATTAAAAAAAAGCATATGAAACTTATTTTACTATAATCACAAACTAGGTTTATAACCTATAGAATAGAAATAAGAAATAAATAAATATATAATATTATTATTATTAGAAAATAAAACTAATTAATGTCTTAAGATATATATATTTAAGTATATTCACTAATAAGGTTTATTTATAAAGTATATTTATGTATATTCTTTCCAACAATCTTCTATACAAATAAAACACTGTCCCATTATGCACAGCTTGATCCCACCTTTCAATAACCACCTCATAGATAGAAATCTCGATCAGCTACATAGATTGATCTTTCAAGTGACGTCTAAGGGATAACAGCACCGTCAGCTGAGCGGCCAAGTCGCAACTGAGCCCACATTCGAAATGGAACCTACACAACGCAGCCTGTAGTTCGGCATTTCCGGCAACAGAGGTTTTGTTGCATCAAGGCTCAGTTTATTCACTGAATAGAAAGTGAGCAAAAAGTGAATAGCATATGCATCACTTACTCCACACCCACTTCATTGCCCAATCGGAAAGTGAAGAAAAGTGAGCCGCATATGCACGACTAGCTGCTAATCTCATGCGGCTCGTTGATTGACCAATCAGAAAGTGAAGAAGAGGTTAACGGCATATGCATGAATCACTGTTGATTTCAAACGCCTGATCGGCCACCACCCGGCAACCGTTCGTGCCCTAGCCTAGATAACTTACGCTTCTTCCTTTTCTCTTCTCTCTTCTCTCTTCTCTCTTCTCTCTTCTTCTTCTTCTTCATCAGTTATCGTCTTCTTCCCGGCTCTTCACTCTTGTGTTGTGCCGTTTTCGCCTGGTAAGTCCACCCTCTTATAGTCTTCTCTTTTGCTTGACACTTCCATCAACCTCATACCCATGCCCTTCGTGATGTATTTGATGACTGACGTTTATGCAGCGCATCTCCAACTTTGTTCCTGCTGTCCGATCTTGCCTATTCAGAGTGCAAGATCGTGTGTTTCGTCTCGCCCTCGCTGTTTACGGTAGCATCCTCGTTAGAGGTGCTGTACGTCCGGTGTCTTCAGACACCGCGTCAAAGATCATCCCCTCCGGGCCATCCTCGTTACGAGGTGGCGCGATTTCGGAGCATCCTCGTTAGAGGTGCTGTCCCCCGGCGTAGTCCTACGCCCTTTCGACGACTATCTTCTCATAGTCATCCTCGTTACGAGGTGACGCCATTGCATAGCATCTCGTCAGAGTTGCTGTGTTCCCCGTGTGTTTTTACACCAAATCGACAATCGTCTCCAGAGACCCATCCTCGTTAGAGGTGGTGCCTTTTTAAAAGTCGTCGACATGTCTCAACCACAGTCTACCCAACCGGCCGCGAACGCCATCAACCCTCATTACTGGAAGCCATGCGCGCTGGTGCTGGGAGATTATTTCTTTGGCGGCCGTGGGCTTGGTCTCAAGACTGCAATCGACACCAAGGTCCACATGCACAGAGAGCCCGATGCAACTTCTTGGCTGGGCCTTAGCATCGAGATCCCCCTTGGAGCCACCAATGAGGATGATGGTTTTGGTGTTGTCCACACCTGTAAGTCCACGCCACTCCCCGTCGCCAGTCAAGAGCTGCGCTAATTGCATGTGTCGTTTCTAGATGATCGGGTCCTCAGAAAGAGCATCAAGACCGACAATTACAGGATTGTAATGAACTTTCCTCTGGATTCGGTGTTTGTCATCGAGAAGCTCGCCGAGAGCATCCTGGCGAGGCTGCCCAACACCGACAAGAGGATGTCCTGGCTCGAGGTCCATCTGAAGGAGCCTCCAGTCATCAAGGGATTCGGCATGCCCTTTGCTCACCCTGAGCACGCAAGCGAAGGGTTCATCAACCGTGACGAGGCCATCCGCGGCAAAACGCTGGTTGACATCCTCCAGCAACAGAGCTTCTCCTTTGTGGTCGCGGCCCCCGACCAAATCCTCGAGAAGCATTGGGCCCAAGAGATGCCTGCCCCCTTCAGATACCCTTACGGCGAAGAGCATTTTTGGGACGAGGGTCGGTACGACGAGATGCTGCCTGAGAACAAGGGCAAACAATTCCCCCAGGCCGTCGCCTTTGACAATGACAACGAGCATGTCGCGGCTCTCACACAGTCTCAAGTCCAAGACATCATGTGGGTGCACAAGGCTGCACTTGAGATTGCCGAGATTCCCATCCGGGCGTATTTCGTGCCCGCCAGAGACGGCCCTGTAGAAGAGTGCAAGCTCTTCTACGCTATTGTGCCACTTGGCAAGGCTTTCCTGGAGAAGTACGAGGAAGCTTGGCGCCGCCTGACCAAGGATCCTTTGCTCACCCTCAACCTCTGGGATGACGAGGAGGATGAGGTTCCTGTGCCCTGGACCGCACGCATCCAGGAGGCCACGCGGGGCATAGATGCTCTCGACTGTCACCCGGTGGACGTTGATGACCTCGTGCTATACGTCCGAAGGCCCCGTGAGGAAGACCTGAAACGCGATCCAATCTCGGTCAAAGTTTTTAGAGATCGCACGTCGGCGACCGTGGCTCTGCGGGACAACAAGGAGCAATAGAACTGCGTTTCCTTGGAGTTCCCCAACCAGGTTGTGGACTACAAGCTCAAGGTCGACGCGACTTGCGCATTCTTGCCCAATGCCAGGCCTTTTAATCCCATCGCCTGCGGAATGCCAGGCCAAAGGGATGCCGGCGGGCAATGCGTCCCGATCCCCGAGGAGGTCAAGTTCAAAATGGACCTCCATCGAGCTCTTCTCCGAGGCAACGGCTTTTATGATGTCCTCGTTCCATCAGCCGATGCAGTCGACCAGCTTGCCGACCAGCTGGCCAATTCGAGCCTCGACATCGGGGTCACCAACAAGGGAGAGCTCCTGCTTCCCAAACGCCTCCCGGTGATCGACCTCATCGACCTTCCTGAGGAGCATCTCAACGCCCTCATGGAAGAGGCCCTACCCGCTGACCGACAGCGGTTTGTCAAGTACCTCAGTCAACGACCTCTTGGGCTTGGCGCCATCACGGCAGTAAGTGCTTGTTAAATCTAGTGACTGCTACAACGATTTGCTAACAGAAACTGTTAATCAGGGACCGGGCTTTGGCAAGACAACCGCGTTGGCGATTGGCACTTTGGCGATGACGGCAACCCTCGGCCAAATTTATGGCACTGCTCCCACCCACGTTGCCACTGACAACTTCGCCGAGCGGCTCGACCGCATCTCGAAAAGTGTGACGCGTCGTCGCAACCGGGAGAAGCAAACCGGCGATTACTCCCGAGCCCGCCGCACTCTTATCGTCCGCGGCTACGCCCAGAGAGAGGAATATACCGCATTGAACGGTCTGTTGCGGGACCCTCGGATAGGCGAAAAGAAAGCGGCCAATCGCCAATGGACCCGCGACGGCCACTGGAAGCTGAATCTGTCTCCAGCCTACTGGGTCCTCAAGGCGCTCCGATTTCGCGACCAAGAGGCAGTCACTCCGCTTCACGAGGATGATCCCGTCCAGGTTTTCGCCCTCCAGGCGCATATCGACGGGGACTCCAAGTACGAGAGGCTCCGGAAAGTAGCCACTGGAGCCATCAGCTGGGCAGAGTACGAGACAGACAAGATCGACCCCGTTGAGATCAATATGTTGATATCGGGCGTCTGTGAGATGGCTGACATCCTTTGCACGACACCATCCCAGTCATGCAAGGGGATCTTCAAGCAGTGGAGGGAACTTTTTGCCCAGGGTCTTGCAGTAGATGAGGCCGGCAATATGAACCGCCCCGACCTATACCGCGTATGGGGCAACACGCTGCTCCCCTGTCTCATGGGCGGCGACGATCTCCAGCTGCCCCCGGCGGTCATGACAATGGGCCAGGTGGACGCCGAGGGCAATTACCTCAACCGCTTGGCCCCAGAGGCCAAAATATCCGCCCTCGAATTCGTCCGGTCTTCTGGGTGGCCTATCTACCGCCTCCGCACCCAGCTGCGTATGGCCCAGGGCCTCTTCGACACCTGCCACCGTGAGGTGTACAGCGATGTGCCGTTCAAGTACGGCTCGCAGAGCGACCTTACTCACCACGCCACGGGCGTCCGGCTGGAGAAGTACCTCAACCAGAGGTTCCCCAAATTGACTCCTGCGGCGCCCGGGACGCTGAGTGAGGTCTTTGTGCACTGCGAAGGCACTGAGTGCATCGTTGACGAGGCCACTCATTCGAAGAGCAACCCCGACCAAGTGGCCAACGCTCTGGACTTCCTGGTCGACATGATGGCAACGGGCAGGTTCAACACTCGCGATTTTGCCATCATCACGCCCTACGCTGCCAATGTAGTGCTGATCAACCGCCGCCGGGAGAGGCCAGAGTACGAGCTCCTATCGGCCATGCCCTCGGCCGCCACTGTCGACTCCTTCCAAGGCCGGGAGGCAGATATAAGTAAGTTACTGGATCTCTCTTTAAACTTGATTAAGTGGCTAACTCTAGATAACAGTGGTCGTCATCATGGGCACAACCGAGGAGGTCGGCCCTGGCTTGACAACCGACGCGCATCGACTCAACGTGATGCTCAGTCGCCAGCGGAGCGGCCTCCTCGTGTTCGGCGATATCAACGTCGTGCGAAGGCCGGATGATCCCGAGCCGGCCAGCGGCAGAGGTGGTAGGGGCGGCCGAGGCGGCCGAGGTGGGCAAGGGGCTGGGAGAGGGGGGCGACCCCGGACGTACGTCATTGAGGTGGACGGCGTCCGGAAAGTGGTGCAGGAGGGGATGCTGCACAAGGTGCTCGAAGGATGGCAGGCATCCGGCCGAGTCGCCACCCTCCCCCCACGGCCTAAACGCAAGGCCAAGGCCGTGGCATCTCAACAGGCCAAGACGGTCGCCGGCCCCTCGAGCCAGGGGAAGTTTGCTGCTGCGTGGTGATTTGGCAAGGCCATGCGCCGGGTTTAGGTAGTTAGAAATAGTTATCAACTACGGGTTATCTACATACCGCATGTGCCAGAGTGTTTCCATCGGGCATCCGCCAAGTCAAAGTAGATGACAAGTAATGGCGTTTCCGATATTTGCTATAAAACACATGTGCAAAACTGCGCCTCATCGCAGCATTGTTCAACAAATTAATGTAGGTTTTGTATTGCGGGTGGATATGGCCCTCACATTGACCTCGCCCGGCTGTTGGCGCCAAAGAGCGCGTTCGTGCATTAGCCGGTGGTTTTTCCTTGTCGCCCTCTTATGTCGCCCTCCTACCGCCTCGACAAGCCAGAGATAGATGTCGGTGTTCTGATGAAAAATTTTGGGCAAGTGGTCTTTGGGATACGTATGGATTTGTATGTAAGGTATTGAAGAAAACTGGCATTGGCGCCACGCCAACATTCCATGAGCACTCTATATAAATACCTACTAAGGTAGGTACCTAGCTGCAGTCTTCGTCTACGTAGATCAATAAGATCAACATTCATCTTCGTTTCTTATAACAGTATGAACATCAACGGCACAGAGCCAATCACCGATTTTGCGATCCATCAAATACGGGGTGCCATAGAGACACTACAGGTACTAACAGGTATGGAGCAGCTTTGGGCGTTTCGGCATCCAATTGCCTCCCGTCCCCTCACTCCCACGACCAGCTGGCAAAAATTAGCGTTACCATGGGCTGCATTTCCCTCATGCAATCGACCACCCACCACCCACCACCCACCACCCCATCAACTCATGCTCGATGTTTTGAGGACCGAGCCAGAACCCCGAAACCGGGCGCATCGAATCTCCCGACATGCAAATGATAATGCGACATGGAAGAATGCAGCAGGAAGCGGTTGAAGGTCACTAGCATCACTATCTTAGCTGAAGATACATTAGCGCAATGCACTCCATGCCCAGAGTGAACAGAAATTCGCCCAAACTGTCGAGGCCCATTCAACGGGGACTTCCAAGGTTCTCTTTCAATGTCCCTTCTTATTCGAACAGGTAAATAGGCGAATGGAATTTATCTCCGACGTTGACGTCGATCAACCCAGCTGACCCCAGTCTATCTAGGCATTATCACTCACCACAGCGACTGAGCACAAACCTACCATTCTGACCGATCAAGTAGTGTCCTCGGCTCATTCCAACCCCCTCACTTGGCCCTATCATCACCATCACATTTCTTTGCCATCCACTATTGTTCGCCATCTCAAGGACTTCCAAAGTTCCACCAAACGTGGCGTCGTGACTCCGAGCCCGCGGCATCGAATGTCTCCACCTTGAACTCGACAACACCGGCTCATCCGCCACCAAGCGATCCCTGAGAGAAATAGCAGCATGTTGTCTTGTTGAGCATCTCAGATGGATCGGGTCTACGTTTCAAGAAGTACACGGCGAATGCATTAGTATGTCTCACGAGGAGTTGAATGAGTATCCGACCTTGGCACCATTCGCTTCTGTATGAATCGAATAGCCCACCAACCTTACTTTTGGCAGCCTCCGGCCGTTTTGCCAAGTCATTTCGCCCAGAGATCATCTCGCTAGATAAGGCACCGCATATACCTACATTAATAAATAATACTAAAACTATCTTCCTTATTACTCTCTCTAAGAGAGATATTAATAGTAAAGCCTAGCTTAAAAGTATAGTTAATTTTTCTTAATTACTAAAAAATAACTTTATTAATTAATAAAAGTTAAATTAAAAAGTATAATAAATATTTATAAAATTTAAGTTTAATATTACTATAATATATTACCTTAAATAAAAACTAAATTAAAAGCTTAAATAAAAAACTTTACTAAAAAGTAAATATAATATTATAATAATATAGCCTAATAGCTAAAAAGTTTAATTATATAAAAAATATATAATTAATAAAATTAATTTTAAAATATTATAAAAATTTAAGTATATTAATTATAAATAAAATTAATAATTTTTTTAATTACTTTAGCTTTAAAACCTTAAGAAATTTATTAAAATAAGTAAAATAAAAAATTAAGTCTCCTAAGTATAAAAAATAAACTACCTAAAAGAAACTAATTATAAAAAAGCCTTTATATATATAGCCTTTAATTAATTAGTTAATTTAACTAATTATATATATATAATTATATAAATTTTACTTACTATTTTAGGCTATTTTATTAGCTTTTTTAATAATTTTCTTAATTCCTTTACCTAGCTTAGGGTTCTTAATACCCTTTAACTAGTTTAACTTATACTTTACCTTACCTAGCTTTAGTTTTTTTTTTTTAAAGTTTTTAATTATAGGTTTATAATTTTATTAATTATAAATTTAGCTATTTACTTAGCTATTTTACTATATATTCTAGGTTAAGGTTAGGTTATAGCTATTACTTAGGAGCTTTTATAATAGTTATCTTTTTTAATAAAAAGTAAGTGCGTGGTTTTATTAAGTAGTCTTTTATATTATATATATAATTTATTTTTAAGGATTATTACTGCTTTTTATAATTTAATAAAATAATTAGCTTATTTAATTTAATTAAGTTATTAAACTATAAGTTATAGGCTTAAAGCTTATATTATACTTAAACTTTATTATTTAGGCTTTTTTATATATTTTAAGTTTAGTCTTAAACCTTAATTAATAATTATATTTTATAGCTTAAATTTTTAAAATTTAACTTAGTTAACTATAGCTAATTAAGTTAAGCTATAGATTAATTTTAGATTTTAAACTAAAGGCTAGGGTATAGCTTTCCTTTAACTTAGTTATTATAGCTTTATTAAACCTCTTAATAATAAATATAACCTTTATAAAAAATTAAGTTTATTAAAATAAAAAAAGCTTAAAATATAAATAATTATAAATAATACTTAAGTAAAAATTTAATAATAATAAAAAATAAAAAAAAGTAAATAAAAATATAATAATAAAAAAAAAATTATTTATATTAAAAAAAAATTTTTTTTTATATAATAATTATTACTTATTTATTAATTTATTATACTTTTTATTAATTAATAATTATTTATTTATTATTTAAATTATATTTAGATAATTAAGGGTATATAAAGTAATAAAAAATTTAAATATATATTATAATATTTAATAAAATTAATATTAAATATATTTAATATTAAAATAATTATAAATTAATATTTTAAAATTAAAAATATAATAAAAAAACTATTTAAAGTTATAGCTTATATATAAAAATAAATATTAAAAATAATATTTTTAATTAAGCCTTTATTATAAACTTAAGAGAGAAAATTAAATATTTTATAAAAGTTATATTTATTATTAAAAGGTTTAGTAAAGCTATAATAGTTAAGTTAAAGGAAGGCTATACCCTAGCCTTTAGTTTAAAATCTAGAATTAATTTATAACTTAACTTAATTAGCTATAATTAACTAAGTTAAACCTTAAAGATTTAGGCTATAAAGTATAATAATTAAGGTTTAAGACTAAACTTAAATATATATATATATATAAAAAGGCCTAAATAATAAAGTTTAAGTATAACATAAGCTTTAAGCCTATAACTTATAGTTTAATAACTTAACTAGATTAAATAAGATTATTCTATTAGGTTATAAAAAGCAGTAATAATCCTACTTGAAAATAGATTGTGTACGCAACGTAAAAGACCACCCGACGAGACCATGCACTATCAAAAGAGACAACTGTTACAAAAGCTCCTAACTTAGAACGCGCGTTAGTATCTCTACTATATAAATCTATTAAATAACTTACGCAATAGCCATAACCCAACCTTAACCTAATACAGCAAGATAGCTAAGCGAATAGCCAAATCCATAATTAATAAAATTACAGACCTATAATCGGAAGCTCTAAAGAAGGAAAGACTAAAGCTAGTTTATTAATAGCTAGGGAACGCACCTTTGAACTAGGCTATTAATACCTAAATACCTTTATAAGCCACCTAGCTTATTTAGCCACTATAAAAACTATAGCGTAAGAATAAAATTATAGTATTATTTAATCTAGCTGCTGCGGCCTTATTTTAATTAAAATAAAGCCGCTATCTTAGCTAAGGTTATTTTTATTATAATAATATATCTTTATTTTTCTATTTAGCTAAAGAAAATATTTTTTATTTTATATTACTAAGCTAGCTAAAGCCTAGCTTAGTTATTTATCCTAGCTAGTATTAATTATTAGTTATAAACTTAATTAAAAATCCTTATTAAAAGCCTTTTTTTAAAATTTAAAAGTAAACTTTAAAAATTTTTACTTAGAAATTTTAAAATAATAACTTACTATCCTAGGGATTATTTAATTTTATTATATTTTTTTATAGTTTTTAAAAAGAAATTAATTTTAAAAAAAAATTATAAAAAAAATATTATACTTTACTTAAGCTTAGTTAATTAATTATAAAGGAAATTTTTTAGCTTTATTTTATTATTATTTTTATATTTTAACCTTAATTTTTTATATTTTTAATACTTTTAATTAATTTTAGATTTTTTTTATTTTTAATAAAGTTATTTACTTTTTACTTATTACCTTAATATTTTATAAATAATTATTTATTTATTATAAGTATTTTAAATTACTAAGGGTTTTTATAAATTTATAATAATTTTATAAATATTATTTTAAATATTTTTATTTATTAGTTTTATTAAAATAAAAAAGTAAAAGTTATTTAATATAAAAGTTTAAAAAATTTAATAAAAATATAATATTTTTACTTTTTTTATAAAATTAATAATTATTTTATATTTAGCTTTTTTAAAATATTTTAACTAAGGGTAATTTTTTAATTTAATATATTTATTTATAATTATTTAAGTTTTATAAATATTTCTTTTATTATTAATTATATTAAGTTATTTTACTTAATAATTATTATCTTAGTTTATTAATTATTTATAGGCTTTATTAATATTATTATTTTTTTTATTTTATAATTTAAGGGATTTTAAAAATTTAACTATATATTATAATTAATTA